CCGAAGCTTTTCGATTGATAAGCGTTATAAAAATCACACTTATAGCTTTCAAAGTTTATAGCACACTGATTATAGCGAACTACTAATAGACACTCTCCTTGGAGCGTCACGTTGGTTATATTTATGGGCGTGGGATTCTTTTGATTCTAACTCTCGAGAATCTTCTACAACTTTGGAGAATAGGCGGGAGTTTCGCAATACATATCTAACACTATAAGCTATGCATGTTTTTGAATATAAATTTAATCCAAACAAACGTTGATATTAAAATACATATATAACAACAAATCCGTTACACTGGCGAAAAGCTTTAGCAGATATTTCTATTGCAACATCTCAACCAACAATTGGTCCAGTTATCAACGCTATTTTCTAGTTTTGAACAACTCGACTTTCAAGATCTACGTATCTACGAGAGCCAATGTTTCCATTTATGAACGTTATATTTTAAGATCTGTGTAAGAACTCAGCTAACAGGTGTTTTCGTATATCAAAGTTATCTTCAAGTTTTGTACAACGAAAAACCTTTTCAAAAAAGTATTTCTGTGACCCTGATGATTTTCAGGCTTATCTTAATTAGAGATAGTTTATGTATCTGTGGGGATATTTAACAGAAGTGAAATAAATTATAGAAAGTAAAAAGTTATTAGAAGTGTTAAAAACTAATATTTAAATGTTAATGAATAAAAATTGTATTCGTAGTTTAAAATGTTTTTTCAAAGAGCTAAAGCAAAATCCTTAACACAAAAATTTATTTTAAGTTATCAAAGTGTTATCATGCATGTGAATTTTATCTTTATGGTCAATCCAATTAGTATTCAATTGTATATATTATAATTATATTTTATATAATTTATTGCATGCATTGTTATTAATTATAGTTTACATAATATTATTTATCCTATTATATTGTGTATATTTCAGTTTATTATATTCTATTGAATATATTATTTCTAAACAACAATGGTTTAATTCAACAAAAAAACTCATCTTAATTGAAATCAAATATACAAAATATTTTTAATGAGATTAATTGACTTGCTTACGTCTATAAGTCTTGTGAAGGAAGATTTAAGGTTTTCTAGCTGAATATTTTGGAAGTAGTGGAACTTAACAGCTGTGATAATACTACTCAGGTCATCGTGAGGTTGGAAGTAAGGGCGTAGCAAATATTCTAGGATATCATCAGAGGAGTTACACTGCTGTAGTTCTGTGCTCAGTGCTTCAAATAGAAACAAGTAGTGTTCAAGTTCGGGATCAGGTAAAAATGAAATCAATGCTTGAGTAAAAAAAATATATTGTATTTTTACTTCAATATTATGTAACGATTAGAAAAATAACAAGTTTGCTTTCTTACAAGAACGAAAAAAGCGCAAATTCTTGAACTGAAACAATCTTTCACCCCACCTTTACCTTACAAAAATAAATAAAAAAGAAACTTGAATATCAATATTTTGTTATTTATGCCAAGGCAACACTAACTGTAACCTAAAAGCCTGGGCTACTAAAACAAATAGGATTTTCCATTATTTATTCTTTTACTAATATATATATAAGAAAACACTGTAATATCAGACTTTTTTCCTTCTTTTATTAATTTATTCTACCGGTTTCGTGACTTCAGAGGTCACTCTTCAGGAAATAGTTTTACTGAGAATCTATAACAAAAAACATACAAATACCGCTTTTCAACTAAATATAAATAATCTAAATTAAATACATTACAAATTTTCAAAAATAAACAAAACAGCACTATAAAAGATTTTTTTTGAAAGAAAGGAAATTTGCATTTTGGAGAAGCTTGAAAGCTGAAAAATTAAACAAATTATGGGAAAATGGAATTAAAGAGGAATCCCCATTAATATCTTTCAAATTTTGCGAAAAAATTAATGATGCTATTTCAAATGAAGAAAAGCGAATGAGAACAAGAATGGAAAATCAAAAGATGAAGTTTACAGAAATTGACTTGAAAATTTGGAATTTATTCAATGAAAAAAATGGAGAATAATAATTTTTAAAGTACTCAAAGAATATTGGAATGAGTTATGTAGAATGGAAGAGTGAAGAAGTGATGAAAAATGGAAATAAGTGGAAATGTGGTTTATATAAAAATTAAAGAAAGACAAAAAGAATCCAGAGAGGGGAAGGAAAAATGAAAGTTATTATAAATAAAGATGAAGATTGTCAAGATGTTGATAATAAAAAATGATAAAATATATACTATAATACATGAAATTGGAGAAAATATGATAGATACAATAACAAAACTAGATGGAATCCTAGAGGTGTGGATATAGAAACTAAACATGTTCGAAATCAACACAAAGTAGAAGAACAAAGAAATGAAAGATTCAAACAAATGAGTTTCAATAGGATGAAAAATATGAGACATGGAGGAATAAAAGAGAGATTATACGACAGACCTACGAATTTTAGAAAATATGACATAGTTTTAAAGAAAACTTTTAGGTAAACAGGATCAGCATTTTCTGAAAATTGTTAATTTAACCGAAACTAATATGCAAGAAAATGAAATACGATTATTAGCAAAAGGATTATCATTTACTCTTGCAAATAAACCTAATAAAATCCGGGATATTGTGAGGTTTTCCAATATGAATACATTCACTGTTTGTTTCGAACAACAATTCATCAATCTCTTTTGATTTATGGGTTTTTAGGAAGTACCTAAAAATACCCAATTTCTGAATTACTTAAAATGAGATATATTTCTTTCTTGTTAATATTATCAAAAAGCCATAAACAAAATTATTAAATTTTTCTTTTATGAAAGTTATGCATCTCAATTTATTTAAACTTCCTTTTTTTTTTGGTAAACCTTTGTATCGTTTAAATGTTCATAAACCATCTGATTATATAATTGTTGGATCATTATTACCCATATTTCATCTTTATCCACTTTTTGAAATATCAAGTTCGATTTTTTTTAAGTTTCTTGAGCGATTTCCGTTCCTTTAAAGTTAAATTATCCTTCCCTTGTTTTCAGTAACATCATATAATTCTATTTTTGACAAAGTAACTGTGATTCCGGATTTATTCCTTGAACAGGACTCCCCAATGGCACAACGGTATGTCTGCGGACTTACAACGCTAGAAACCGGGTTTCGATACCCGTTGTGGGCAGAGCACAGATAGCACTTGTGTAGCTTTGTGCATAATTAAAAACAAACAAACAATCCTTGAACAGGATCAAAATCTGATTTATCTTTTACTGAGGATTCATCTTTATTTGAACCATCATAAAAATATCCTTTAAGTCTAATTTCCTATTGAATTCATATGTATATTTTAGGAAGACCAATTGTAGGAGGAAATAAAAATAACTACTGATTGTAAGTTTGTTTGTAAGTAAGCACAAAGCTACACAATGGGCTATCTGTGCTCTGTTCACCACGGGTATCGAAACCCGGATTCTAGCGTTGTAAGTCCACAGACATACCGCTGTGCCACTGGGGGGGGGGTGGGCGATTGTAGGAGGAAATAAAAATAATTACTTAACATTTAAGTGATCTTTTAGACATATTGTTAAAACCTTTTTTATCTCATAGTCCTAGTTTAATTAGAGATGATTGTGAATTTGTTGAAAAATTGCCAAGAAAATTAGAAGAAAATCAGAGTTTTGTTTCTTTAGATGTGTTAGCTCTGTATCCAAGTGTTGAACATGATTACGGACTTAAAGCTGTGGAAAGTTTTCTAGATAAATACAAGGAATTAATTCATACCAGGGTTAATAAAGGTTTTATCTTATAAGGTTTATATATAGTTTGTTTTTAATTGTTTACTTATGAGAAGCAAATCTTTCACCAAATATCTGGTACAGCAATGGGCACAAAAGTCACTCCAACTTATGCTAATATCACTATGGGATTTTTCGAATTACAAGTATTTAATATACTACCTAATTATTTTAAAGATTTTAAGACGATTGTTTGGTAATATGCAAAGATACTCAAGATATTAATGAATTTGTTGGAATTTTAAATTCAATAAACAAGGAAATTAAGTTTACCTACGAAATATATAATAATGGCTTGCCATTTTTAGATGTGTTTGTAAATGTTTCACCAGAGAAGGAAATTTTAATTGACAATTTTTATAAACCCACAAACTCTCATCAATATTTAGATTTTTTAATAGTCATCCCAAACATATAAGATTAAATGTAAATCTTGCAAGTAGATTATATCGTTTGGTTTCCAATGAAAAAACAAGAGGTAGTTGATTATCAGAACTAAACAAAATTTTAGTTCAGTGTCACTATCCGGAGAAAGTTATATTAAGAGATTTTGAGATTGTTCAGAATAACTTTCGTAATAAAAAACATTTAAACAGAGAGATTAGTGAACCTAAAGAGAACATTATACTTTTTTGTTGTAACTCATTGCCAAAATATAAATACTGATATTTCATTTGTTAATATACAATTAAAACAAATAATAAATAAAATACTGAAAGATGTATTCAAAAATGATAAAATTATTTTATCAAAAAGACAACCTAAAAGTTTGTATAAATTATTGAATAAACCTAAAGAAAGAGATTTTTCTAAAGAAGGTATTTTCAGTTTCGAAAGAAATATGTGCTTTGTGCAATTTAGGTTATATGAAATCTACCAAAACAATAAAGAACAATAACAAATAAATTTTGTATTTTATTAATAGCTCATTTAATTGCAATAATAAGAAAGTAATATATCTTTTAAAATGTGTAAATTGTGGTGAATTATATATTGATGAAACAGATAATTTAAGATTAAGGATGAATTGACATAAATTCCATGTTAGATGTCCCGAAAAATGCCTACTATATGCCAGTAAACATTTTAATGAATGTATTTTGAGAAAATTTACAATTCAAAAAAGAACTATATTTTCGCGTTTTCCCTTTTTGGGAATGTAATGTAAAACACAAAAAAACATTATTTTTCGAAAGTATTTTATTTTTTTGGCGCTACTTTAAATAGATTGTAGTAAGAGGGCAGAAATGTCGTGTAAAGTCGGTAGGAAGGATGAAATCCTGAAAACAGTTACTTAGACTTTCAAAAAAGAAAAAGTAAGTAAAAGTATGAAATTATAGTACAAATAAATTTAATTTCTGTTATTATAATAAGAAAAGTATAATTAGAATAAGATTTTAATTTAAAAAGGAAAGTATATTGACTAATTTTATTTATTTTTCAATGTTTGTAATGTATTTAATTCAAACATGGAGTATTCGTTTGTCTGTAATTAAGCACAAAGCTACACAATGGGCTAGCTGTGCTCTTCTCACCACGGGTATCGAAACCTGAATTCTAGCGTTGTAAGTCCGCATACATACCGCTGTGCCACTGGGGAACTACATGGAGTGTATTATATGTTTGTACATTTGGAAATTATATGTATTTAATTTAGATTATTTATGTTTAGTTGAAAAGCGGTATTTGTATGTTTTTGTTATAGATTTTCAATAAAACTATTTCCTGAAGAGTGACCTTTGAAGTCACGAAACCGGTAGAAGAAATTAATAAAAAAGGAACAAAAAGTATGATAATCCAGTGTTTTCTTATTCGTATCTTATTCGTGTAAAATGATTTGTGGTTCCGAAACGCTGCAACAGGTGTCCAGTATATACTTGTGACACAGAGGAGAAAGTTAGACGTTGTGTGAAACACTTCGAGGAAACACTGAACTGAATGTTACGAAATCACACAAACAAACACAAAACAAAGTCATTGTCCTGTGTTCTTGAAACACACACACACACACAGATATGCTGTGTATTAATGATATACATGCAATAAAACCAATATTCTGTGTATTACTGAAACACACTGAACAAAACCAATGAAATGCTGATGTGTAATTTGCAATAAGGGCATCGAAGTAAAGTAAATACCTTATAACAAATAAATTTACAATTCCATATTGTCAAAAAAAAAGAATATGCCGTCTGTACATTAATGGTATTTTTACACAGTTGAAAACCATACACGATCTACACTTCGGTTGCTGTTGATCCAGAAATGTTTCCATAGTGACTGTATTACGTGTAGTTCACCAAAGCAAGCATCAGACTTATTGGCGGACTAAACTAATGCATTAACAATGTATATTTTGTGGGATAGTAAGAACATATATCGTTATTCCCTGGGTCATAAGATCACTATATTAACTAAAAAAAACACCACAATTTCTGAATAAAAGTGCTAAACAATATACCACAGTGATGCTAAGATGCTTCATTAGGTAAACGAATGATGAAAAAAGATGAAAGACGCTGTAGATGCCGATTAATGCAAAGTTATCTCTAACTTTCTCATTTTATCACCAGATAGGTTGCAACAAAATGTTATTATTGGTAAAAACCAACTGAAGCAAAATGTTACTACTGGTAGCAACCAACTGAATCAAAATGTTACTATTGGTATCAACCAACTGAATCAAAATGTTACTACTGGTATCAACCAACTGAAGCAAAATGTTACTACTGGTAGCAACCAACTGAATCAAAATGTTACTATTGGTATCAACCAACTGAATCAAAATGTTACTACTGGTATCAACCAACTGAAGCAAAATGTTACTACTGGTAGCAACCAACTGAATCAAAATGTTACTACTGGTAGCAACCAACTGAAGCAAAATGTTACTATTGGTATCAACCAACTGAATCAAAATGTTACTACTGGTACAACCAACTGAAGCAAAACTGTAGCCACACCACAGAGAGTATAAAAGGTGAACAGTACGAATTGAAGCTACATTTACATGCTTAAAAAACCGAGGTATTTTTACGTATTATATAAATATGCACCTTTCATGTACTTATTTGAAATATTATTCATGTATAACCTTTATATTAACACCTCTGCTAGCAGATCGAAATATTGTTTCGAAAAAGTTGAATAAAGCCCATTAACATCTTTGAGATAAGTCACACTCTTCCGCTTAAACCTTAACAAAAAATCTAATATTATATGAGATATACATTTTGATACACACACAAAACATGGAAGGGCAATCCAAAGCACTTGATATTAAGAGTAAATTGACTTGTAAAGCATCAAAAATACAACCGAAAAAAATAAGCCTTTGGTTTCTTGTTCATCAGATATAATATGTTATATTGTACAACTGTGTAGATTTTTATTAACTAAATATTTTATTAAATACGTCTGTAATTTTTTACTTACCATAGAAATCTAAAGATGCTTCTTTTTCTGTGATCCCAGCAAGTAAATGTACGTTTTGTGCCAAACCTTTGGAGTACATTTGGTACGGATGATCTGTTAACATTGCTCCTGTCAAGTTCTTTTCAATAACTGGCAGAAACATCGACTAACAAGGTAAAAATAATATTATTTTATTGAACAGCCGGAATTTAAGAATGTTTTTAGTTTTGTTTTTCCTTAATTATACTTTTGACAAATATTTACTCAGTCTTTCACATTAAATAATTTACCTATTTAAAATTATCGTTTGTCCTGAAAAGAAAAACGAGCAATACTTTGGTTACCAGAATGTTTAGATCAATACATGTGAGCTCTTTAACAAGGTTAGGGATATAAAAAGGCGGCTGCTACAACAGTGAATAAAAAAGACCACATTACTCACATTACATATATTTTCTTTGTCCTTTTTTCTCTAACACCATACACATTATCCAGGGAGATAGTATAGAAAGAAGTAAAAAAAAAAACTTGTATAAATGTGCAATCACCCTTAAAAGCATGCGTAGTATTCATGATAATGTTTTAAGTTAGAATGAAGAATCTCGTAGGAATACAAAAGCATGTGGATAACTATCTGCTCAGAGAAATATAGTTGTTTTACTCTTTCCTATTTAACTGAAATTCATGCAGTGGGATAAGTGAAGTACTTTTAACGTTTTAAAGAAGCATGTTGCTGACAGAAGTGTGTTTATAAAAGATATTTCCAGGAATATTTTTAGTCAAAACTCGAATTAAAAAAAAAAAAGTCAAACCTTTCCGTAAAATTCGCCGTTTAATTTATTCTGCAATTTCAGTGTGCTTGAGATAAAGGCCTCCATACTAATATAGTGTGCAGGTTAATTTTTTAAATATTAAAAATAGATAATTGCATGTTGTTAAGCGTAAAGCTTTACAATGGTCTATCTGTGCTTTGCCCACCGCGGGTATCGAAGCCCGATTGTTATCGTTATAAGCCTTCACACTTACCGCTGAGCCACGGGAAGTCACAAAATAAATAAAAGACTGTACATTTCCAATAAGATTTTTTCCACCTCTATAAACTTTTCAGAAAACTATAGCATAGTCTGAGTAGCACTTCCAAAAAAAAGTTTCTAACTTCAAAACACTGCACCAGAAAGAGCTAGTATCGCGATGCAGGATAATCAGTGTAATGACGTTTTACTCAACTAACTTTTACACGAGTTAAGATAATTTTAACAACGAAAAAATACTTCAGCTCAAATTATGAACATTGTGATCGTAGATGTTTGGATGATGTGTGTTAGCTGAAGACTGATTGAAGAGAGTGTCAAACAGCTATGCGTCTTCATTTAACTAAAACCAGAAAAATCAGTCGTGCCAAACACTTTATAAAGCAGCACTTAAACACATGAAAAGGTTAAATATGCTTAGATAAACTGATAGGATTGAAATAAATGGTCATCCAGCTTTATAAAATTCTTTTGTTTCTTTGTTGCTACAAGAGTCATGTTCTATTCCACCAAAACATTCATATATATATCGTTATTTTAGTACCTGCAGAATATCAGAAGTCCTGTATTTAGTCAAACTGTAACACAGATACATTGTACCTTGCTCGAAACAACTCAAATTACCGTTGTTTCTAAACTAAATTTGGATTTTAAATTTTAGACTTGTACTTTTCTGAACTTCTACGTCTGGTTCGGTGTTTTACACATCAGATAAGCAAGTTTTGCATAACGATAATCTGAATTTAATTTCCAAAACTTGAAGAACGTCTTACATTTGGAGACTTTGCTTGGATCTCTAGTAAAGCTTCGACACTTTTCTGGCGAAGGCAGTGAAGGAGACCAGAGGAAGGAAAAGGCTGACATCCTAGACTGAAGGCAGCGTTCTGAGCATGTTGTCGTGGATTACTTGTTACAGCCCAAGGTGCGAATCCCGTGCCACTGGCTACCACAGCTCTCGTAAAGTAACCTGTCAGTAGTATTAATTAGAATATAATCCACAATTCAGATTAACAACACTTATTTAAGGTAAATACAGTTCATCATAACCCAATGAAAATGGGATAGAGATATAAATATCATGTTTAGATATCACAGAATCTAGTGGAAGATAATTTATAATATATAAACTAAATAAATAATACGAAACTATGCGTCAACAACAATAGCCCGGGTCACAAATAGCCCAAACTGACGTCGTTATAAGCACAGTTGCTCTACAAAAACAAAAACTAATTATTGAGCTAGATAAAGTTAAGTAAGAATTATATAAAATATAATTAACATATAAACTTTGGACTTACAAAAAGTTAGATTTAGAATCTTACGTAAAGAACAATGGGGATGGAGAGGTTTCAATTATCTGTTGCTGCGAACTACACAAAAATTTTCAGCAAAAAATTATTTTAATTTTAACTGTTGATCGAAATAAGATTATTAACAAGCTAACTATTTTACTCCACAAGTAGTAAACAAGATGTCTCATAATTATATTATGTGGTTCTTTATCTAAACTGAAGATGTCGCTTTAATTAAACCTACATTTCTGTTATTAAATATCACTACAAAAGCCACTGCATATTAAAATATTTCTTGAGTAGCCACTAACGTGCTCATAACATGACCTTCATGTATGATTTAATGAATTACCTAGGCTATACAGTTGGGAAATTCTTGACAGACTCACTGGTGATTTTTAAAATTAACTTAAACTTGAAGTTAACTAGAAGATATCTTAAATGGCCGATTGAAAATGTATTTACTTTATCTTAATGATTCTGAAAATCAATTACTTAAACTATAAGAGTCAACTGTTTGGGGTTATAATGGATACTGGATAACTAACACGGGCTATAAGGGATATTGGATAACTAACACAGATTATAAGGGGAATTGGATAACTAACACGAGTTATAAGGGATACTGGGTAACTAAGACGGGTTATAAGGGATAATGAATAACTAAGATGGGTTATAAGTAATACTGGATAACTACCACGGGCTATAAGGGATATTGGATAACTAACACAAGTGACAGTTAGGTAATAGAATAAAAAAACACCGTAAATTAGGTGTCTCATGATTGCTAGCTGTCATCCAACGTGCAGTTTTGGTGTTTTTGTTTGCTTGTTTTTTAGTGTAAAGGTTACACAATAGACTCGTGGAATCGAACCCTGGACTTTAAGGTTATAAGTCCTAAACTTACCGCCGACCCACCGGAAGGTGACATAGTATCCATAATAATGGATCATTATTTACTTATTCTTGAATTTTAAAATAAAATACTTTTTGATCCTAATGTAATGAAACCGTGCACTAAAAAGAATATGTCCAGTTGATGATGTTGTTTGAATAAACGAAATCTGTGTAATCTCAAAGCATATGTTCATTGCGGCAAGAAGTTATTAATAACAATACCGCGATACCTGAATTATTATTATTCCTTTAAAGTCTAAAAATTCTCTTAAAAAATCATCCAGAATAATAATTAGTTTATTTAAAAATAATCCAAACGTTCTATGTTTGGGAGTAAGGTTGTTTTGTTTTTGTTTATTTTTTACTAAATGACCATCTAGATATATAACAAAATTCAAATCTAATGATTGTTTGTTTTTTGAATTTCGCGCAAAGCTACACGAGGGCTATCTGCGCTAGCCGTCCCTAATTTAGCAGTGTAAGACTAGAGGGAAGGCAGCTAGTCATCACCACCCACCGCCAACTCTTGGGCTACTCTTTTACCAACGAATAGTGGGATTGACCGTCACATTATAGCACCCCCACAGCTGAAAGGGCGAGCATATTTGGTGGAACGGGGATTTGAACCTGCGACCCTCAGATTGCGAGTCGAGCGCATTAACCACCTGGCCATGCCAGGCCTTTTTTATTTAAGCACAAAGCTACACAATGGGTTATCTGTGCTCTGCTCACCACGGGAATCGAAACCCAGATTCTAGTGTTGTAGGCCCGGCATGGC